CTTTGACACTTTTGTTTTATTTTTTTTATATATAATAAATTTTGTAATTCGTGCAACTTCGAAGATATAAATTTTTCAATTGTGTTTAACTTTAAATTAGAGAACATTGCACAAAAATAAGCATTTCATATTTTTATGTCCAGAAGCAGTAAATAGATAAATTATGCAGTTCTGATTTCAGTAACGTCATTTTTATTTAATATTCCCATTTTATTCAGACGTGTTAAGAACAATTGGACATTAAATTTCACACACTAGTCTTTTGTCATGTTACCGAATGCAGCTAAAAAAATCTGTAAAGTTGATCAACAAACGACACTCTCATCTTAGTCTCTTATAGTTAGCCCATCATTGTCTGCACACCCTTTAATCAGTTACCAAACCCTTAAACTATACTGCAGTCACATTATCGAATCGATTACATCAAAAGAACATACAATTATATACTGATCAAAGTTAGGGTCTACAATTGTATGCAAGGCTTGAACTACTATATTAATTTGCCGGCCATTCAAAGTATTATTTTTGATTTAAAAATTAAATACGAAACAAATATTTAGTTTGCTGTATTAAAAAAAAAAAACATTTTAAACAATAAGATGCAGGCCGGCAAATTACTATAGTAGTTTAAGCCCTGATTGTATGTCTGTAATGAATAAAATGTTCAAGTATGTGTTTTGTAACAAAAAGAAAAAATAAAATAAAAGCTTGCATCTTGAATTCTTTTTATCATCATTGTGACAATTGTGATTCAGTGTCTATATCTCGATCTTTACCAATCGTTGAAAGCACGATATTAAAAAATCTATTAATTAAAATTTAAGCAACCACCTAATCCTGAATCAACGTCAATTCTTAATATCCAATGCCGCGTCCTAATAAAAGAAAACAACATACATCTAAATTGTCCAGGAAAAAAGGTCATTTTATATCAGAAAATAAGATAGTTCTAGATGTGGATATAGTACAAGAGGAGTTGCCCCAAGATGAATATGAGATGGTTCTAGATGTGGATATAGTACAAGAAGATCTGCCCTGAGATAAATTTGTAGAGAAAGAAATATTGCAAGTTGAACCTATACAAGAAATCACTATAACACAAGAAAAACCCATTGAAGTAAAGCGTAATAGAGCACCATATACCAGATTATCAAGAACTACAGCCTGGAGAAGAAAACAAAAAGTTGAAGTGTCATCAAATATTGAAGCGTCACCTGAGTGTAAATAGGTATATAAAATTGTTGTTAGATGGATGGGACAAGATGAATGCAAGCATTCATCTTGCACAAGCTATAT